CCACGGCCCGACGAAAATCGGTTAGCTCCTCACGTACCCAGCCTTTCCAAGCCATACGTAGACCGCCCAATATGCATGCTCTCTCGCCAGAGTATAACAAGGACGTAACTGAAAACACATTTCCGGGAGTAGGGACTAGGTAGCTCCAAATTTGTTATAATATACTTCACATTGACATTTTGGGATAAAAGTTTTCAAAATTTAGTTTCTAAGTTCTAACAACCCCATTCTCAACAGTTTGCTGTGTACATATTTAAATTATTTGACAAAATAATTTTTAAATTATCTAAAAATAGAAAAAGCCTAAAAATAAATATTTCAACATCTGATAAAAAAAAAGAATAGAATAAACAATTATAAAAATTCAACAGTCTTTTAATCAATATTATAAACAAATGTATTAATCATATTATAATAATATACTCGCTACGTAAATCGCCACGTCGCCCCCCCCCCCCTCAAATCCGCCACTGTAAGATATATTGTATTACCAAGTTTAATTAAGTATTTCAATTCATACCTTATACCTGTACTAAATTTTACATTTTGATACACATTAATTTTTTTGCAATATTTCAAATAAATTTCAAAACAAGAAAACTACATATACATATTATATGTTATAAAATTATAATAAATTTAATTTAAATTCCTCCAAAGGTGTAAAACTATGCTTAAAATATTGTAATATTTGTCAACATTTTTATTATGTCGTTGGTATGCAAAAATGTATTATATATGATTTATATATATTATTAATAAATACATACCACCCTATCCTATCCTATCACCAACCTATCACCGTTATAAACCTATCTTCTAAAACGTTATTATTATTATATTCGCTTTAATAAATTGTAAATGTTACTATTATTATTAAATGCATATATATATATATATATATCCTTTGCAATGTAATAATTATTTAATTTAATAATTTAAAAATTAATCTACCTATGCAAATGTAATGTACAATAAATATAGGTACATTACACTGTTATGAGAATGCACATACTTTCATTATTATTTAAAATATGTATATCAATAATATTAAAAATATATATGTATAATAAGTAGTTTGAATGCACGAATTGGATAGACATTTTGCAGTTCTTACATTTATTGAAAAGCTAAGAGTTTTAGTAGGAGCTTGGTGTGTCGATTGTTAAGTCAATGTCAATTTCTTAAAACATACATGTAACGTTATACTAATATATATTTATGTATTACCAAGTTTAATTACTGCAATCCACACCTTATATTTTTATATATACTGACCTTTACATTGGCTTACACATATTAATATTATTTTTTGAAATATTTCAAACAACTTTCAAAACAAGAAAACTACATATACATGTGATATATTATTATTATATATTATATATATATAATATATAAGCTTATATATATATATGCTTCCTCAAATGGTGTAACTATCCTTAAAATATTGTACTATTTGTCATCATTGTTATGTGGTTGGCATGCAAAAATGTATTATACATATCATTTATATACTATTTTATATAATTTTTATTTATTATTATAATTTTAATTGTATTGAGTTTAATGTGTTATATTAAAATAAATATAATAACATTAATTGATACCCATGTTTAATTAGTAACTACATTTGAAAAGTTTCATTTTTTTTCTTACTTATTTTATTGCAATATACCTTTAGGTTACTCTTACCTACAATAAGCCATTGGTTAACAATTAATGTTGTCTTCAGTATTATTCATTAACCAATAGTACCAGTTAATTTGTAATTGATGTAGCACATGCATATATATATACATTTAAATTTATTAATAATAAGTTTCATACACAAATTATTATAATTTCAAAAGTATATATCTACTATGACCAAGGTTTGTAAGAGATTTTCAAATTTGTTGTATGTATAATATATTTGATTTCTTGCAGTCGACGCAAGAATCAATTTAATTTTTTTAAATATCATTAAACTACACTATATTGTATGTTTGAATTTGTATTGCTTAGCAATGTCTTTCGTATGTAATAAACTTAATGAGGTATGATTAGATATTTTTCCTCCGCAATTAATTTTCATTGTAAAAATATTATGCAAATACTGATTGGTAGTACCTAATTGATTATATATTATTTGTAATGTAAAAAATATAACTAATAAACAAATAATCCATGTTCATATTTATTATTTTTATTATCATTATACATTACTAATTACTTCTATTAAACCTAAAATTGTAAAAGATTGTGATTGATAGTATTAAAACCACTTTTAAAAACCAAAAACTATAAGCATGTGCACAACACACATATATACAACATGATACATTTAACTGATGTTTTATAGGCTACACATATATTCATTTAACTGTACTTATGAACAGTAATAATGTTATGATAGGTACGCCACACCTACAGCTGTCTATATAAGTAATTTAGAGCATTTAATTAGCTTTATGGAACGTTTTAATTTCATTTGGTATGCACAGGTCGTTCGCAACCAGACACCCATGGCTTAAATATACAAGGTTATTGCAGTAGTACCCCCACTAAATCGTTTTATCTTGTTAAGAAATTAAAATGGCAGCGTAAGGGGCGATGTTTTGATTGGCTGTATATTATATGAATATATACATTATACATTATATAATTAAGTGATAACAATAATTGATAAAGAATCGTGACCCTTACGCTGCCATTTTATTTTATTTGATAACAATAATGGCTATGTGCAATAACCTTGTATATTTAAGCCATGCAGACACCTATATACCTGGGAACAGTGCCGGCGCTAGGTATTGCGGGGCCCTGGTCATAGGTAATAGCCTTTAGGTTCTCAGAGAGTAGTGAAATTTTAGCTTTTTTTTAAATCAGGATTTTAAAAAAGGACTGTTTTTATATATAATATAGGTAAATAATTAAATTTAAATAATGCTCTGTCAATTCTTAATGAATCAAGATATTTTAATGAAACAAAAATCAAATTAAAGCTTATTTTTATCTTTGTTATTCACTTGCCCCATATATAATTTTATGTAATACTAATAGCAAAAACAATCCGATTTTGCACTTGCCCCATAAAAAGGGGCAAGTGTGACGTTTTAAAATTAAAAAAAAAAAAAATTATTCTTAGGTGAGTGATAATATAACTTTGTTGACTATAAATTCCAATTATGTATATCTAGAGGTGTTACGTTATGGAACAATAACAACTTTAAGTTAAAAACAAAAAAAGTATTGTCAAATTCAAAATTAACTTTTCATTTTTGCGTCACACTTACCCCACTTTACCTTACCTACTTGAGTAAACGGAGACAACACATTCGAGTGCGATTCCTCCTGATGAAACCTCGCTCAGCACAGAATTATTGGCGTAGCGTGAGTTTCAGTTAAACCTTTGAGTGGAAAATCGTAGGCTAATAAATTCATAAGGGCTGGTTATTTTATTAATTTACATTTATTTTAACAACTACATAAAATCATCAATTAAAAATAAATTAATTCATCAAAATGTTTGAATAAAATAATAAATTGTTTAATATCTAAGTACGCGACCGCTGCAGCCAGAATAATGCAATATACGACGGTAGACCACGGTATTCGTATCAAGATGATAATTAAAAATCACGGGGCCCTTTGACAAGCGCGGGGCCCTGGACAAATGTCCCATTTGTCCTCCCCTAGCGCCGGCACTGCCTGGGAAGTATGGTTGCCTTTAAATCAACTACTTAAGAGGACGTGTCACGAAAAATTTACGCGAGGATGCGCTGTTAAGTGTTTTCACAAGCGCGCGGCGTTTAAGTCACGCCTACTATTCGCAATTCACCACCGGTCGACGGCGGCGACGAGTTATCGTTCGGGAGCGCCGTTTATTTGTCTAGGAACGTTCATCCGGTACTGTTCGTATCATTATAAAATTCATGCGCAAATGCCACCGTAATAATATTTTCAATACCCGCGCGTACCTATGAACTACCGATTATAAATTATGATTTATGTCCCAATATATAGATCGTAGAAACTGTATTATAACATAGCCTGATTTGTAGTTATTGAATTATTACTTATTTAAATACAATACTTGTAGTAAAATCTAATAAATGGTAAATAAAATAAATACAGCGCAATTAAATTAATATTAATTTTCCGTGCCATATTTTTTACGTTCAACTGTTAATGTTATATTAAAATATGATAATAAGTAACTACAAATATTTTTTTAATTAATAATATGTAGGTAGTAGGTATACGTATACGTATACCTAATATACTAATATAGTAATATTATAATAATTAATAATTATTATTTACTCGTAATGATAATAATAAATAATAATACTCTAAAATCTTTATATTGCCAGAATATTGTTGAATTGTTGAACAATACATACAACGTAGCACTCTAACTATTGTACAACATAACTTTATTTATATTTATAACTTAATTACTTTATGAAATACATAAAAATTAGTAAACTCATTGCGAATCTATGCGTTTTTACGTTATTACTTGTAGGTGACTTACCTAAGTACTATTCGTACGATAGTTTTTATTCTTTTATAAGCGTATTAGTATATTAGTATCGTTTAAATAGTTTTGATTAGTAAATGTTGATGTAATTACTTTTTATTTTTTAAACATAATGTAAGTAGTTAACTGTCGTAAATAGTTCATGAATTTTAATTTTTTAAATGCTAATCACGCATTACATAATACATACAAAATTATTTTTTTTTTAATGTGGTTTTTAAAATATATTTATCTTTTTATATGTTTTAAAAATACGAGTATGTAACCAAAAACATATTAAACAATCTTTTAGGTTTAAAAATTATAAACATAATTGTGCAGGTATCAGTAAAAAATGCACCGATCAATTACAAATAATATCAAATTAATAAAATAAATATTATTGTCTTGTTTCATTTTTTTTTCAATAGATACATAGTTAATTATACAAATAATAAATACTTAATACAAATAATACAATATAAAATGTTCTTTATTTCTTTGTTTTTGATTTTTGAGCAGTTATAATATAATTTGGGTCGATGATATCGCTCGTCAAAAAACGTTTGCCAAACTGCGGATCAACGATCTCGGGCAATAAACATTCGTAATAAAATCTGTATAAAATACAATATGTAATATGTAATAAAGAATATAAAGAACGTGTAATATGTAATATATATGTTTAAATTTACCTTTTTAATTTAGATTCCATTTTATCAATCCAAAATTGTGGATCATATTTAATTATTTCAACATGTTGCCAATTATGCGAATACACAATGAAATGACAGATATCTCTTTTGGAAATTCTCAACTGCCCAATTATTTGATAGAAATAGTTATCATCTTTTTTTAAAGATATTTCTCCACGTTCATTTAATTTTAAGAATTTTATCTAAATTAAAAATATTATTTATAGAACATAGAAGTACGAGTACCTAGGTCGTATATGGACATAGGCGCAATTTCAATTTTTGACTTGGAGGGGCTATACATATTTATAAGAAACAGACTCATGGGAGAGGGCTCTGTCATCTGTTAAAATACCTTTTTAGAGGGGCTAATACCCTCCAAGTCCCCCCCCCCCAAATTACACCTATGTATAAGAAATGATAAGAATAAAAAAAAGTATAATTTTAAAATAAATTGCTGTAGTAACTAATATATAAAAATATATTCTAGGTGGTAATGTCTTTTATGTATTACCTTTTTATCTTTGATAGCCTCTTCAACTGTAGGATAGTCTTTTGCCGAATACGGACATTTCACTTCAATTATGCTATCATTCCCAATAAGCCCATCTAAAATTAAAATGCTATAAAGGATAGAGGATTAATTATTTTTTTTTTATAGGAATATAATGGTAAAAACCGGGAACTCGCTCTGGTGTACAGTAGGGGTGGGTCGGACCCAAACTATAATATACATTCATTTTGCTACCCGAAACCACCCCTAATTTTTAAGGTTGAATTTAACTAATTCTGCTCCAAATTTTGTCCTCAGACACAAAAAAAAAAACACACATCATTTTAAAATCAATACATTCATCACTCAGTTCAGAATCTAAAATATTTTAAAATATTATGCAAAATCTTGTATATATGTCTTAATTTCAGAAAAAACTCGCAGTAAAGTTGAACTCACCAGGCGATGCTCCGAAGAACGGGTAATCTTCATCAATGATTAAACCACATGTTTGAATCGTTGTCCCCATATTGTTTTCAAAATATTCCAGGGCAACTGGTTCCATATCTTTACCGTATTTGCATGCTATTGGCTCGTTCGTACTAGAAGTACTGTATAATTTGTTAGCTACGATAATATGATAATATATTAAATATTAATATAATAATTAATAATATCTAGTCTTTAATGTTTTTATAAGCACAAGTTTGAAGTATGAACTGTGAAGTTTCAAGTTATTCCAAGTTACTACCTTATTACTTAATACTTATAACTAACGTAAATAAGTTTACAACGTTTAAATTTACAAGTAAAAGATGTAGGGTAATGACACCAGTGTTTGGCAACATAGCATGTTATTTTTTTTTTCCTGTCGTAGAAAATAAATTGTCTTTAATTTAGTCTTGTTATAATATTGATCAATTAACCTAATTATGAAGAATTTTGTGCTCTTTCATTTAATTATTATTTTGCTAATATATTATTTAATATTAACTAGGGATTTAGAATAAAATAATTTATTTTTTTTATGCCAGTGTATGACAAAAAAATCTAGTGTTTGACACAAAAAAAAACCAGTCTTTGGCACATTCCAGTGTTTGGCAACATAAAAATCTAGTGTTTGGCATTTTGGTTTAGTACCAAAATGTTATCAAAATTATAAATAAATAAATCCTTTAAATAAAGTAGGTATAATAATAATAATACAATTAAAATACTTAATAATTTAATAAAGTATAACATGTATAAAATGTATAAAAAAAAAACAAATTAAAATCTCTTTTTTTGGGTAGGTATAAAACATTTGGTGAAAATGTTAGTCTTCTTGACATAAAACAGAATAAAATGGTCTTATAAACATAATTAATAATTATTAAGTGTTCTTAACATAACAAAATAAAACAAACTTTTAAAAATAACTAATAATAATTAAGTCTACTTGACTAAAACAAACTTATAAAAATAACTAATAATAATGAAGTCTTCTTGACATACAAAACAAATTAAACTTATAAAAATAGTTAATAATTAGGTATTACATATTGTACTTATTATAGGTACAGTCTTAAAGTTTCTTTTTAGTCTTCTTCATCTGAGTTTTCATTAAATTCATCATCACTCGAGCAATTATTATCTTCCGTAACACAATAATGGCATAAAAATTCAACATTTCTACCATTAATATTATTTAAACCAAATTCTTTTTTATGATTTGTTGGCAAACAGTCAATATGAAATTGTTTGGCACAACCGTCACATTCTACCCACTCTCTCATCAAACCTCTTATTACCTCCGAGTTGTATCGACTTCTACATTCGGAACATGTCCAGTCTTCATCTTCATCTTCTGCTAATTGTTTTTTGTTACATACCTTTTTGTTACTAGCGTTTTTCTTTTCTTCTCGTTTCCTTTTTCTTTCAGATTTCAGTACTTCAATTGCCTGTTTTTTGGCTTCCTTTTCTTCTTCATATTTGTCATATTGTCCTGATGTGACAACAGCTGGTATCCGCAATCTGCGCCTTGTTACTGTGGTTTTTTTTGGTGATTTTGGCCAAAGTAAGTTTCTTTTAAATGGTGATGGTACACCTTTACCTGCAGTCTTCGGTGATATTTTTTTTGCCAGTGTTTCTTGCCTTTTTTCTTCGGACCCAATAACAATATTTTGCTGAGAATAGCTGGCTGTGGAAGTACAAGGATCATGTACATAACTACCATCAAGTGCAATTGTTGTTATATCAACTGCATTTAAACTTTTTGTAGGAGTGACAAAATTACTTGTATATTCATTAGTTTTTTTCATACTTTTTCGCCAAATCTCATACAAATTTTTATTTTCTATCTCCCCTTTCCAATTATCATCAATATTAGTTTTAAATTTATCGAGCAATGTTTGTCCTATTAAATTCTCTAAATATACATGTCCATTTTCACAGTTTTTATAAGTTTCTACTTTTTCTGAACTTGCTGGTTCATCTTCAGGGCCAATCTCTGTCTCATCGGGAGCATCTTTCTTCAAACATTTAGAATAATCGATTGCTCTAGAATCCCATGGATATAATCCAGTTGTTCTAAACCCATTTTGAATTGTGGTTTTGGTAAGTCTATTATTTATAACCTTATTCAGTAATGGAGCAAAGTCATGTTTTGTTAATGGGTCTTCCGTTGTCATGCGCCACTCATGTACTTCTTTGGCCCACTTTTTTTAAAGGTCCGAACATTGCTACATCCAATGGTTGCTGGATATGTGTAGAGTTTGGGTAGAACGCTACAATGTGAATACCATTTTCTCTACAAAACATACTCAAATGGTATGTTAAATGAGAAACATGTCCGTCTAAAAATAATACAACTGGTAATATGACTTTGGTTTTAATTAACCAGGGATGAAACACATTAGCTATGTACTCAAAAAAGGTTTCACCAGTAATCCACCCTTTATCACTGACAGCCATGGCCCAATGTTCCGGTATTGATTTTGCAATTCCTTTTGGCATGCGTTTACCAGAAAATACCAACATAGTTGGTGCAATGGAACCATCCGCGGATACGTTTAACAGAGCTGTTATTTGTTGCTTATCATTATTTCCACACACCTCGTATACATTTTTTTCACCCCTTATGCTTAACACCTTTTCACCCTTTGGACACAACATAAAACCAGATTCGTCGGTGTTAAAAATGCGAGAAGGATCGTCAAGTATATCTGTTATATTATTTTCATTAAAAAAGGTGTAAACATTATCAAACCAATGTTCAATTTGAGTTTGAGTCACTTGGCTTCTAGATTTAGTCACCTTCTCAACAGTTCTCTTAGCCACAGTAGGGTGACGTTTCATAAAAAGCTTAAGCCATTTTTTGGATGGGTTTCCACCATTAAACAAATGGGCAATACCCATTTCTTTGGCTATTTTGCCAACAGACACCAATAAATTCCTACTAACAATTGGAAAACCTCTTTTGCTCATAGCCTCAATCCAATTAACCAGTAAAATTTCATGGTCCCCTAAAGCAGGAGGTGGTCCAAGTTTCCTATTTTCAACAGTTGTTTTCCCATCAATAATATTTTTTAGACTGGACCTGGGGACATTGTATTGTAAACTTGCCTTATACACATTAAGTTCTTTATTTTACACTGCATGCACAGCCTTTTGCATGTCTTGAATATTATATGCAAATTTTGGTTTTGAAGCCATTTTTGCAAGTGTGATTCTAGATACATATCAGAATTAAAATACATATCTAGGTACTTAGCAGAGGTACCGAAGTACATAAAATAACAAAAATTAAAAATATATATACCTATATAGTGCCAAAGACTGGGTTTTAGTAGCATACCAATGTTTGGCAATTAATGCCATACAATGGATAAAAATAACATGTATGGTACAGTGAATGGCAATTTGGTATAATTACTTATAACTTAAATATATTGATGAACTACCATACTTACTTATGAGATCTGATGCACAGATGACTATCTAAAAAAAACCCCAAATAAACAAGACAATTTTTAAATTTTTAAAAAAATTTCGAAAATATTGTTGTATATTATGAATGATAATAAATTTTTAATGATGATAAGGATTTTATCAAAATAATAAAATTATCAATATTATCAAGTATGGTTATACCAATATGCATGTAACCAAATAACAGCTTAGAAGTTCTTTGACTACATTGATAATAATATACAATGCTTCATACATAGGCACCTTATCTGTGACATGAAGAAAACAAAATTGCCAAAAACTGGGTTAGTGCCAAACACTGGTGTCATTACCCTAGAGCCAAAAACCTGAAAAGTGGTCGAATGACCAAATAGAGACGTTGATTGATGCATATAAAGAAGAGCTCTGCTTATTTGCAACAAATCTGGCCACATATCACAATAAGCACTTAAGAGCAGATGCCATGGAACGTGTACATAAAACTGTGAAAAGCTTAAGGCCATTAACAAATTCAAAAGAATGTTCAACCAAATTCCATAACCTACGAAACCAATTCAACATTGAAAATGCCAAAGTCAAAACATCATTCAAAAGCGGCACTGGTACTGATGACGTAAGTATTTTTAGCAAGTTTTATATTTAGGGTATTTTAAATAGGTTGTTATGGACCACAAAGGTGCCGAAATATAAAAATATATTTGGGGTAAATTATATTTGACTATCCACCTACTCACCTTACCTAAATTCCTATTTAAGTTTATTATTTCTTAGTGGCATTCTAGGAGGCAGTTATAACTTTAATACAAAAAAAAGTTTATGAAACTGCTTTATGTCTTATACCTTAAAAAAATTATATGGTATAATGGTACCCACTTAAGAACCATACAAATAAACTATTACTATTAACAAATTTGTAATAATTTAATTTTGTGTTTATAGAGGCATTTATAAACAATTCAGCTATTTATATATGTTTCTCAATTTACAGTTTTCATTAGCACTATTTATACACAAACAGATATTATTTTTTAAATAGGTACATGATAAAATATGAATATTATTTCAGGTCATTTTTAATAATGGTAATTAAACACAAATATTCATACTCAAACTCAAACTCAATGCTTACATAATAAATTTTTAATATTTATTACTTTAAATAATGACTAAATATTGTCTTAACAGGCCTATTGTTAATTATTAATTAGGTATATATTTATATACATTTATTATGACTAAACAGAAATTACAAATACATTACACTATGATGAATTTGTAATATATGTATTTTTTTTTTATATAGGTACCTAATGAGTAATGAGTAATGACTAATGAGTAATGGGATAATGTATAATAAGAAAATTAAAACATTTGGTCCATATAAAATATATAATTTTTATAACTAATAACTATTAAGTTATAGTTATACATAGACATACATATCACATTCACATACATTAACATGCATAAAGTTATTACTAAGGCTTTGGAGAGTGAACGCTCTACGCTACAACTAGAAATTGGAATAGTCACTTATATAGCTAATGACATATATAAATTTAAAAAACAACTGGTTCTATTAGCTAAACAAAACATTTCAAAAATTATTTTAGCACTTCCAATGTTCTTAATTGCTCTTTGATCATTCTGAGTTTCATTTAAATTTTAAATCATCATAGGTACTAATGTATTATGTATTTGGTTCAAGCACAGAATAATTCTGTGGTTCAAGTACTGAAATGTTGTTATCATCATTATTATCTTCATCATTGCTTGAATTATTATTTATTATTGATTACATCATGCAAAAACTCTAGTAAATTTAAATTATTTTCAAATTCATTGAAATTCATATAAAATTGCATGTATTTAGTCATTCAGAAATCAAACAATGCCTATTCATTTTTGAATAAACCTTGCATAAATCTATAAATGATTCTTTTGGTAGCATTGTTAGATCATTCAATCATTGAGCACTTCTTGTATTCTACAAGATCAGAGAAATGCAATGTCTTTTAATGGTCCAATATTTGTAGTTTCAAATTGGTCACTCAATTCATTTAGTGACATGTCTATTACTGCATTGTAAGTTTCTACTTCAAACTTTTAAGTTGGACATACAATTGGGTCATTTAATCTTAAAAATATTTTAAACATTTTGGTATATAAAATAATTTATTTTATTTTTTTAGTAAATTAAATAAAATTGTACAATTTAAAGAAATTATATCATACCTACTTTGGTACACTCCTTGGTCTGATATTTTTCAATGGTGTAAAATCTGTGTCACCCTTTAATAAAATCATTTTGCGATAATTTTCTTTCCCCGATTTTGACCTCAAGTACCTACTACAATTTTGTAGACGTGTTGTTTTGTGTAAAAGATTTTAAACTCAATTTTTAAAATAGTAAATTATTTTCGGAAAGTGAGTTTCAAAAAAAAAAATTGTGAGGAAATTTTGTTTTATCAATCTTAAAATCGACACACGACTCTTTTGAAAAAGAAAATTTGATCTTAAGGTGTGAATGCGTTGATACTCAAATACTTTAAGTCGATACCACCAATCTTGAAGAAGTTACGATTTCAAGTCTTTTTTCAAAAACTATAAATCAAAATATAGGTAATATTAAACTTTTTAAGATTTACAATCTCATAAAGTACTATAGTATTCGAATACTTTTTAATTACTTAAATATGCGTATTTTGCATACTTTACGTTTACATACTTACTATTACATTACTCTTTCTACTTAGGTACCTAACCTATATAATAAGCCACTAGTATTCTGTACTTGAATACTTTTAAAACGTGTCTTTTACAAGGCCTGATTATGAAATATACACTTGGTTAAAATTGAAACTCATACAAGTATACAACGATACTAATATATATGTACCCCGTCTTCAGTAAGGTGATATTAGGTATATTTTGCCTTTTTAATTAGCTCCTATAACTTCCAAGCCATATTAATCACCAAAATTTTTAATTCACCACAGTCCCAAAAGCTTCCAAACCTATTATCATGGTCATATTATTATATCCTTAGTAGTAACAGTGATCTATAGATTATAGTGTTTATAATTAATAATATTACACAAACTTAAATCTTATATCTACTTATTATTTCAGATTTACAAACCATCCTTATGGTATTATGAAAAGCTTTTATTTTTGGATCCATATGTTACACCTCGTAAAAGCCGGAATTCGATGGAAAACGAAGTAAAAAAAACAGATTTACCATGTGAGGTAATTATTCTATCAAGAACATTGGGATTAAAATTAGTATTTTTATTGTCCTTTAGTTAAATACTCAAATGTCTGTTTGTTTCAGAATACTAATATAATATACACAGTAGAAGAAATTAGTAATCAAAGTTTGCAGTTTGGAGATAATGAGTTAATCCAAGAAATATTTGTGCCAGACGACAGGGAACCACAAACTGATGAAGAATTTGCAGCAAGTTCTTCCCAACATTTTACACTTCCTAGCCATATCAGCCCACCCCTATCAACACCATCAACATCTTCATCAACAAGCAATTCAAATAGCCGCCCTAAAAAAAAGTTTCGCTCCAATCCAATTGATGACGAATATGCAAGCGCCATTAATCATCTTGCGGAGTCAATGAGTCAACCGATTACCATTAACAGTACAGATATTATTAGGAATACACCGACTCCGTCATCAGACTCAATTGATACATTTGTAGTATTT